GTGGCGCCGGTGGGGCCTCCTCCGGCGCCATTTGTGGTGGGCGCGGAGGCCCTTCACGAGATGCACCGGGCAACGCTGCACCACCCCGTTCAGCACGGCATCGTGGAGGACTGGCCCAAAATGGAGCAGATCATTCACCACACCTTCGCGGAGTTTGACTTGGACCCGGCGGAAACGTCGCTTGTCTGCACGGAGCCGCTATTCACCCCCCAAACAGAACTCCGAGCAGATGGCCGAGGTGTTGTTTGAGGCCTTTGGTGTACCTTCACTTGCGCTTGTCTCCTCGGGCATGTGTGCCCTGTACTCCAGCGGGCGTACAACAGGCGTCGTTCTGGACTCGGGCGCTGGGGTGACGCAGGTGACACCGGTGTACGACTCGTACATCATACGTAATGCGGCAAGTCGCTTTAACCACGGCGGTCGCGAAGTAACGGAGCACCTACGCACCCTGCTCTTTGAGCGTGGGCTGAACTTTTCTTTGCCGCACTGACATGGGGACTATTCCGGAGAGTCTGCGGTGCCATACGCATGAGGAGGAACAGCAGGGGGGGGGGGGGGAGGCGATGGTGTTTGCGGGGCAGGCGCAAACGTCGCGTCTGAGAGGCATGGTGGCGGGCAGCACGGATGCCGGTGTCTCTGGGGAGGGGAGCCGCAGGCAGGGCAATACACTTTTTCCCACGGAGAACGAAGGCGGTTCCCCACGCAGGGCCATCTCCTGTTTTTCTCCCCGGGCGTGTGAGCAAGGCGCATAACACGTACTGTCCCTCGAGGACTGCGACGCCAATGAAAAGCTTATGCCCCACACGGAGGCGCCACTGGGGCTTCCCCGGCTCTTCCATTAGCGCTGCCGTGTCTAGGGTGCCATTGGAGGGCGTTTTGTTCCCCGGACCCGTGGGCAACGCCGCGGTTGCGAGAAACAGAAGGGGCGATAATGCATTTGAAAGAGGGCGGACTTCCTTACGGCGAATGCGGTATGTTATGTGTCGGCGTATGCGTCCACGTTTGCTTGGGGATCCATAATGCACGGGTGTGTGTGTGTATTGGCCCCATTGGACCGGCCCCGTGTTGGTGGTAGGTGTGCACGTATTGGGTCTGCGGCTTGTACATTTCCAAGTGGGGGGCCTTTCTTGGCTTTGCTTTCTGTCTCTCTCGTCCCATCGTCCCCTATGGTTTTGTTGGGTGGTGGTTGTGCGGTCTTCGCGTGTGCGGCACTCCTGTGCCGCGTACGCCAAACGACGGTTGCACGCCTTTTCACATTCGCCTTCTCCTTTTCTTTTACTCGCTCCCTTTCCCCCCCAAGAACTGAAAGTGTGCAGTTTCCGCGAGTTCAGCCTCGACCAGCTCTAAAAGCAACACTTACCGGCACTTTTCCTGCGATGCGTTCGTTTGTCGCCGCACGAGGGCCTGCCGTGAGGACTCTTCTGGTAAGCAGCCGCGCCGGCAGCAGTTTCTTCGCCTCCGTTCCCATGGGAGAGCCGGACTCCATCTTGGGCCTCTCGCTCGAGTGCCAGCGGGATCCCCACCCCGAGAAGGTAAACCTCGGCGTTGGGGTTTACCGCGACGACGCGAACCGGCCGTACGTTCTCGAAGCGGTGAAGAAGGCGGACACCGGCAACGACTTGGAGTACGCCCCGATCAACGGTGTGCCGTCCTTCGTGAAAGCGGCGCAGAAGCTGTGCTTCGGTGAGGATTGCCCGGCACTCCGCGATGGACGCATTGCGAGCTGCCAGACGGTTGGAGGGACCGGTGCGCTGCGCCTTGGCGGCGAGATGCTCCACAACTTCGTGAACCATTGCACCACAATATACGCGCCCAACCCCGGCTACGCCAACCACCCGGGCATCTTCAAGAAGGCCGGAATAACACTGCCGACCTACACGTACTACGACCCCGCCACGAGGGACATTGACCTGCCCGGCATGCTCAAGTCTCTGGAGGAGATCCCGAAGCGCTCCGTTGTTCTGTTCCACGCCTGCGCCCACAATCCTACAGGCGTGGACCCCACTCAGAGCGAGTGGATGCAGGTGGCGGAGGTGATTAAGCGACGAAATCTCTTGCCTTTTGTGGACATGGCTTACCAGGGGTTTGCCACCGGGGACCTCGACCGCGACGCCTTCTTGCCGCGCCACCTCGTCAGGACGGTTCCGAATGTAATCGTCGCTCAGTCCTTTGCAAAGAACTTTGGCCTGTACGGGCTCCGCTGCGGTGCTCTGCATATGGTTGTTGGTAGCCCGACGGAGGCGGAGCGCGTCCTCTCGCAGTACGCTCTCATCACCCGTGCAATGCACAGCAACCCTCCGCTCACCGGAGCCCGCATTGTGAGCTCCATTCTCTCCTCTCCGGAGCTCACGGCGCTGTGGAAGGAGGAGCTCAGGGGGATGTCAGGCCGTCTGCACCATGTGCGTCGCCGCCTGGTGAAGGAGCTGCAAGCCTGCGGGTCAATGCGTGACTGGTCGCACATTGAGCGTCAGATCGGCATGATGTCATACACGGGCCTCACGAAGGAGCAGGTGGAGGCACTGAAGAGGAAGCACCACGTGTACATGACCCTGAATGGCCGTGCGGCGATTTCCGGGCTGAACAGCACCAACGTTCTCTACGTGGCAAAGGCCTTTCACGACGTTTCTCTGTAGGTGGCTGCTGGGAAATTACCAACTGAATTCAGGTTACAGTGGCAAATGGTGCGGACAAGACGGTGCTTCTACGTGAGTAAGTTTGTCAAAAATGAAAAAAAAACGTCTGTTGTATTATGCATAAATTAAATTTGTTAATGAGAGCGAACGCGTTTTGAGCTTTGTGAGGAATGCCTCTTCTTGTTGTGCGTCTTTTTTCACCAACAGCGTGAGGAGTGGGCGTTGAAATGTGCGCCCCCAGAGGTGGTTGTGGTGGCACGTTTTATTGCCACTAGTGTATTTTTTTTTTAAACTTGATTGCGCTTGTTTGTTTATTTTTTGATGTTGTTGTTGGG